ATCAAGCCCAATTGATAACGTAGCACTGCCACATCCAGCACTAAACCACGTCCCTAACTGTCACATCTACATGTCTTTTAAATACCTCCAGGGATGGCAACTCAACTGCTTCCATGCGCAGCCTGTTCCAATGTTTGAAAACCCTTTCAGTGAAGAAATTTTTCTTAATATCCAATCTAGATCTTCCCTGGCGCAACTTTTGAGGCTGTTTCCTCTTGTCCTATCACTTGTTAATTAGGAGAAGAGACCGACCCCCACCTTGCTACAACCTCCTTTCAGGTATTTGTAGAGAGTAATAAGGCCTCCCCTCAGCCTCCTTTTCTCCAGGCTGAACAACTCCAGCTCCCTCAGCCGCTCCTCATAAGACTTGTGCTCTGGACCCTTCACCAGCTTCGTTGCCCTGCTCTGGACATGCTCTAGAATCTCAATGTCTTCCTTGTAGTCTCGATGTCTTCCCCTTCCTTGAGGGGCCCAAAACTGAACATAGTACTTGAGGTGGGGTATCACTAGTGCCCAGTACAAGGAGATGATCACTTCCCTAGTCCTGCTGGCCACACTATTTCTGATACAAGCCAGAATGCTACTGGCCTTCTTGCCCATCTGGGCACACTGCTGGCTTATATTCAGCCAGCTGTTGACCAATACCCCTAGATCCTTTTCCACTGAGCAGCTTTCTAGTTGCTCTTCCCCAAGCTTGTATTGCTGCATGGAGTTGCTGTGACCCAAGTGTAGGACTCAGCACCTGGCCTTGTTGAACCTTACACTGTTGGCTTTGGCGCATCAATCCAGCCTGTGCAGATCCATCTGTAGAGCCTTCCTACCCTTAAGAAGGTCAACACTCCCACACAACTTGGAGGTGTCTGCAAACGTGCTGAGAGTGCACTTGATCCCCACATCCAGATCATTGATAAAGATATTAAAGAGAACTGGCCACAGCACTGACCCCTGGGGAACACCACTTGCAACTGTCCTCCAATTCACCACCACTCTCTGGGGCCAGTCATCCAGCCAGTTTTTAACCCAGAGAAGAGTATGCCGTTCCGAGCCATAAGCAGACAATATCTCCAGGAGAATGGTCTGGGAAACACAGAATCACAGAATCTTCTAGGTTGGAAGGGACCTTAAAGATCATCTTGTCCAACCCTCAACCTAACTGACAAAAATAGACACCCACACAACAAACAAGGAGCATCATCACTAAACCATACCTCCCAGCACTACATCAACCCGTCTTTTGAACACCTCCAGGGATGGTGCCTCAACCACTTCCCTGGGCAGCCCATTCCAATGCCTGATAACCCTTTCAGTGAAAAAATTTTTCCTAATATCCAGCCTGAACCTACCCTGGCGCAACTTGAGGCCATTTCCTCTTGTCCTGTCGCCTGTGACTTGAGAAAAGAGACCGACCCCCACCTCGCTACACCCTCCTTTCAGGTAGTTGTAGAGAGCAATAAGGTCTCCCCTCAGCCTCCTCTTCTCCAGGCTGAATAACCCCAGCTCCCTCAGCCTCTCCTCATAAGACTTATTCTCCAGACCCCTCACCATCTTTGTCGCCCTTCTCTGGACCCACTCCAGCACCTCAATGTCTTTTTTATGGTAGGGGGCCCAAAACTGGACACAGTACTCGAGGTGAGGCCTCACCAGTGCCGAGTACAGGGGGACAATCACCTCTCGGGCTCTACTCGCCACGCTGTTCTTGATACAGGCCAGGATGCTGTTGGCCTTCTTGGCCACCTGGGCACACTGCTGGCTCATGTTCAGCCGACAGTCGACCAACACCCCCAGGTCCTTTTCTGCCAGGCAGCTCCAGCCACTCTGCCCCCAGCCTGTAGCGCTGCCTGGGGTTGTTGTGACCGAAGTGCAGGACTTGGCACTTGGCCTTGTTGAAGGCCTTACTAAAGGCTAGGTAAACAACATCCACAGCCTTTCCCTCATCCACTCACTGAGTCATAGAAAGAGATTAGGTTTGTCAAGCAGGATCTGCCTTTCATAAACCCATGCTGACTGGACCTGGTGACCTGGTTGTCCTGTATGTGCCATGTGGTAGTGCTCAAGATGATCTGCTTCACAACATTCCCTGGCACCACGGTCAGACTGACAGGCCTGTAGGTTCCCCAGATCCTCCTTCCAGACCTTTTTGTAGATGGGCATCACATTTGCTAACGTTCAGTCAACTGGTACTTCTTCAGTTAGCCAGGACTGTTAATAAATGATGGTAAGTGGCTTGATGAGCACATCCACCATCTCCCTCAGTAGGTGGATCCCATCCAGCCATATAGATTTGTGTGTGTCTAAGTAGCAGATAACTAGCCCTTTCCCCTTGGATTACGGGGGCTTCATTCTGCTCCCTGTCCCTGTCTTCTAGCTCAGGAGGCTGGGTACTCAGGAAACAACTGGTCTTACTACTAAAGATGGAGGCAAAGACAGCATTAAGTACCTCAACCTTTTCCTCATTCTTTGTCGTTATGTTAGCCCCTGCAACCCATAGGTCCATTTATCTCCGGCTGTGTGAGCCAAACTGGGCAGCCATATCAGACTGGGGGACGATGTTCATTGGAGACCTGGAGCCCCTGGCTTGCAGAGGCTCAGAGGAAGCTGGGTGAAGTGAGGAAGAGCCTTAGGGAGGTGGGGAAGGGATACACAGCTATTCAAAGGAACCAAGCAGCCTGGCAGGCCAAATACCATTTTTAGTCAGTACCCCACTAAGCAACAAACAACCAGAACACTGAACAAAGCATTAAAAGAAAATGCAGTTTGTTTGGTCTGTTTCCACAGAGAAAGGGAAATACCCTCAGCCAGTGACTCTATTTTCTGATTTTGTTTTGTTTGGGTTTGGGTTTTTTTTGGGTTTTTTTTGAGCCTGGGGAATGGCTGCACTCTCTCTGTTTAGCAAGGGCCTAGCAGCAATGAGGATGAACTTTGCGATCCCAGATAGACCTCTGCTGTCACCTCAGACAATTCTTTGGTGGTACAGTGAGGTGGGACAGGCAGCTTCTGGAGCAGCAGTCACTGTGACGACTCCACCACAAGCACCATACCTCTCCTCTGGTAACAAGGAATGCCACTGAATGGAGAGCAACAGAGAGGTAAAGAAGCTCCTGTCGTATCTTGATGCTCATCCTCACACCCAGGTTTACAGACTTTAAGTCTGGCTGTGCTTTTAGCTGAGAAAGAAAGCTGCCATTTTAGATTTCTGTGCCCTGGTCTCCTCTCAGCTTCCTGTGTGATTACTGCTATGGCTTCAGGCTGTGAGCTAAATAATAAAGGAAAATAGTTCATTTTCATGTGTGTCTCTCCAGAAATCCGTGCAGCAAGACTGAACCTCCACTAGTGGCAATCAGCATGGCAGGGCTGAACTCGGTTTCACCTGTTTACACCAGCCGAGGGGCTGACTCCACTGCACCACCTTGAAAGATCTTACTTTTCCCTTTGGATGATGATAAAATTCAGTTTAGCAACAATTGCATCAAAATAAATCAGGTGAAGTAGAAAATTGCCAGAATTGGCTTTCCAAAAGGCTCTGCTGAGAGAATTTCACGCAAAAGCGTAATTCAGTTAGCTTGGAAACAGTTAACATGATAAAGGAAGTCCTCAGCTTTGCAGCAAAAAGGAAAAAAAAACAAGCATCATGAAGGCAGTGGAAAGGCATCTCACTGCCCTGCTGCATCACCCTACGGTCGTCAGAAGAAATTCTCCCTTGCCTGTAGTCAATGACAGCCTGAACGAAATGGCAACTCCTGTTGCCCCACAGAAATGCAATCACATCATTGACTGATAACACCAAAGACAACGTGTGACATTCACAGATTTATGGTGAACCTTACGGAGCGTTTGTGTAGGCTGCAATCAGTTACTCGGGTTTAGCTGCATTATGTTTACCAGAAAATGAGGAATCGCTTACAGAACATGACGGCAGGGGCTTGGACAGGCAAGAGAAGGGACCTGTCTGTAGCATAACTTGAAGTCTGGTCTTCAAGTGCATGCGTGGGCAGAGAAGATATTCTGCGCACCATCTGCCCACGCAGGTGCACTGCTCACACACACACACACGTACTAGTGCACAAGCAACCTAAATATCTTATTTTTAAAAACACAGCCCAGCTCGTTCGCTGCAAGGACAAACTGTCCAGTCCTGATCGTCTTTCTCAGATACTGTAATCACTGAAATTCCTCAGGCTCCCCTACCGAACTAATCTAATGGGATTTGACCCACAAACGCGCACCGGTTACAAAAAAGATCACACGTACATTTTTTCCCTTTCTCTTTGCTATGCACAAATGTAAAGACAAACTCTGCTACCGACAGGGAGGATAAATGATAGAAATAACCAGGATGGCTTTCAAATGGTGCTGCCTGCAGCTGTCATGGAGTCCAAGAGGGACTGGGGCTGCTCGGCACCCTGTTACGTATCAAGGTGCCTCTCCATGTAGGCATGCACATATGCATCAACACCCTCCCTGTATGTGCATACGTGCCCTTTTTATTATGCCACGTACAGCTAATAACTTCATCCTACAATTAAAGCTTTACACACACACACACACACGCATGCTAACTGACACCCCCCTCTGCAACACACACACACACACACACACACACACACACAAAACCCCTAATGACAGGCACCAGAAAAATCCAAGGCAGCTCTGCAGGCAGAAAGTGCTCGCTGAAGCCATGCAGTGCACACCCAATCCACAGCGATTGGTGTCTTATCATTATGTATAATAAATAACGGTGCTTAATAATCACAGCACTGCCGCGCTGCCGGCGCTCACACCCTCCCGACTCCATGCTCCTGAGCAGCTCCTGCAACATGGTCCTGGGCATGAAACACCCGGCATGAAAAGCAGGCAGGACACGATCACTGCAAGAGATAGGCTCCGGCAGTGAAAGCTGCTTCATGTCGGAGTGGGCTCTTCCCGGCTTTCAGACATGTGATCTGCATGTCTAATAATGAGCAGATTTAGTCAATCCATCATTTCTGGCATCAGTCCCTTACCTTGAAATGCTGCAGCTGAAGTATCTGGTCCTCAAGCTGTTGTCTCTTGCCTTCTATTTCTGTCTGCCTTTTCCTTTTCTCCTTGGAAAAATAATTTGAGAGGGGGGGAGAGAGGAGAGAGAGAGAGAGAGAGAGAGAAATATCTCGTTAGAGAAACGGAGGCTTTAAGGGTAGCGGATTCGTAAGAGCATGTAAGCAGTCAAACGCATCTGTACAGATGTCACCAGTCCCATTTCACCTGCTCCTCTGCCTGCTGGTATGCAAACAGCAGCGTCCTGGGAAGACGCCAGCCCCAGACTAGCCGGTGGCTCGCCAGCAGGAGAAATTCTCCTCGCTCGCTCCCGGCTGCCGGAGCAGCAACAGAGTGCACAGTCCCAGAGGAGGGGAGAAAACAGGCATAACAGCTGAGAGGGAAGTTAAAGGGACAAAGATGTGCTTTTGCATCTGAGACGCCGGGCCGGAACCCACGGATGGCGTGGTGCAATGGTGTGACAGTGAGGCGGCACGAAAGCGGTGAGTGGGTGGCATCACGGAGGAGAGGGAGCCGGGTTGCAGACTCTGTTTGTCCCCGGTGAGGTTGGTGGTAAAGGCTGTCCCCAGGCTCGGTGGGGAGAAGGTGTTTCAGCCAGAATGCACGGGATTTACCCGCAAAGCAAATGGGATGGGTAACCCTCAGCAGATGCCAGCAGCTGGCCCCTACGGGCTCCCAGGAGCTGGGCTGACCAAGAGGTGTCAAGGACAGCACGGTCATTTCCACAGCTGGGGCTTTTCATGGTCATGTTCGTGGACATGGCCACTCGTCCGTGCCCAGGCTGCTCCCTTCAGCAGACTCTCGCAGGTGTTCCAAGAGGAGAACACCCTGCTTTTCACCCCTGCAACACCTTCATCTTATGAAGGATCAACTATTTGCCTTTTGTCAGTCTTCTGCACCTTGTGGGGAGCGATTCCCACCACCCAACCCCAGCCCAGACCAGGTTCCCTCTCCTGGAGGTCTCTTTCTGTGTAGATTTTGCAGCCAAGACAGAAATACTAAGTGGTAAGTAGAGGCAGTCAAATAAACATACAGCCTCAGTTTTTATTGGAACATTGTAGTGACAGGACAAGGATTTTAAATTGGAAGAGGGGAGGTTTAGATTAGATACTAGAAAGAAATTCTTTACTATGAGGGTGGTGAGGCACTGGAACAGGTTGTCCAGAGATGTGGATCCCCCATCCCTGGAGGTGTTCAAGGCCAGGCTGGATGGGGCTTTGAGCAACCCGGTCTGGTGGGAGGTGTCCCTGCCCATGGCAGGGGGTTGGAACTCCATGATCTTTGAGGTCCCTTCCAACTCCAACCATTCTATGATTCTATGATTTTTTATTCCCTACTTGTGAAAGCGTGTTTTTGTTATTTAAATATTTCAGTGGGTGTAAGGTTGGGCTTGAAGACATTTGAGAATTCCGTATGTCCCCAAAGTAATTTTTCTGTCTCATCTCTAGGTGCACTGCTGATGCTTTAGGAATTCTATGCTTTCCAGGGATTTCAAACCTTCATGACTCATCCTCAAGGGACATATGATAAAATGCTGCCTATGAAGAAATTAATTGTGTTTATATTGGACCTCAAACCAGGGCATTTTGGGTGAAAGCACTACATTTACAAGAACAGCAGATTTTTTTTTATTATTTTTTTTTTAATGCCAGGCTCACTCAAAACAAAGCAAAACATGGAGGTAGGTAACTGTCTGGACCACTCCTGATGAAGTGTGAGACGTCAGAACAGTGATGGGAGGACTGGAGTAATGAACCCAGAAGAGGCAAAGTAGTCAAATAATGCATATGTCAAGCAGTTCTGTAATACACGGCACACTCCTACATGATGATTGTTTGTGCATATCTACATCTACACACACACACACTCCCCATTGTCTGAAGTATGTAAGAATATTACCGCTGATAAAAAATATTCTGCTGAAGTTGTTTCGGAACAGCAAAATTGGCTTTTTGGATAAGTAAAATGTCGCAAATGGTGCCTGTCTTCAGCTGAAAACTTGACATCTCACTGCTCTGTGCACGCGGGAGATAGTTTGCATTTGTGCACACACAAGCATATAAAATTTAGGCATGCACCTTTAAAAATCCTTCCTTATATAAAATTGATAGTCTGTGGATCATCCCTCCTATCACTCCTCCAATCCCCATCCCCCCTTTACATTTTTGAATGGAACAGGAGATTGGGTGGCTCAGGGGTTAGAAAAACCCAACGCTGTTCAGGGATCTCTCTTTTTTCATTTTTTAGGGATCTCATTTTCTTCATTCTGCGATATTAACAGTATACTTTGGAGACTGAAAAGCAGAATTTGTTATTTGCTATTCCCTCAAATAGCTGGTCAGCCATGGGCTGGAATAAAGTAGTTCTAAAAGCCGTTTCAGTTAATGGCCTAATATTCCCAGCATAAAGATAATTCTGCCCTATTTGAGCCAGGCTGGCCAGATGACAGAATGTTTGGATTTCACATATGTGGGCATTAACACCCCACATCTGACACTTCATAGGCCAGCATAAGGCACCCAAATCTTCACAGTTAGCTGACCTACATTTTTATGTGTGTATACTCATACATATGTTTTTTTATATATATATGAACTCACAAAAACCTTCTCGCTAAAGCACATGATGGAAATCATCACAGTACCTCCTCTGGCTGGTTGTGTCATGCTGTATAATAGATGTGACAAGACAGCCTTATAAAACATAGATGGAAACTTCTTTTCTTTGTGAGAAAGGAAAAGCACTTAGAGTATTTTCCCTGTAGGCAGCAACACAGTAGGCACTAAAATACTTGAACTACTTACTAACTAGTGGGCTTCTGTGGAGTTAAATTGGAATATTGCTCACGTTTCCATATCACTGGCTTTCAGTCAGCCTAGCTGAATCCCTTTGCCCTCTGAATTTGTACCACAGCTATGGCTGAGGAGTACAACAGCAAAAGTATTTTTTTTTTCTCTGAAGATTGCGTGAATTGCAGTGTTGGTAATTAGTTATCAAGATGTTTCACCGTCAGGTCACTAAATCATTTTTAATTTCATTTTCTCCCAGTCACTGAAGATTGTGACTATATGTGTTCCTGATTTATATCGGTGTGTTCTGAAAAAATGTGGACTGCCTGACAAAAATCCTACCAAAACCAGCATGTCAAGCAATCATCTACATTCAGTAGATGAAATGGGTAAAATCCTAAAGCAGGACTTTACCAAAACCACTGGGATGTAAAGCACATGCTTACACCTGAGCATTTATTAAGGCACTTTGCTAAGTTGAAGCCAATAAATGTTCCTCATTACTCTGTTTATCTACTTATCTTTACATAAATAAAGATAAAAAAATTGCCTCCAAGAAGTAACCCCCAAGAGCATCCCTGATCTCCTCACCCAGGCAAGGATGGAGGGAGCTCAAGCCATAGGGGGAAGGCAAAAGCCAGGAGGGTGTTTGGGTATATAAAGGATGACTGGATTTTGTACAGTCCCTGCACCTTTTGAGGGGGGTAGTGAAAACTGTTGGCTGGGGTGTCAAACACAAACACACCCAGTTTCTTGAAGCTATTGTGTGGACACCAAGTGGTAGCTTGTTTTGGTTTGTTTTGTTTTGTTTTTCAAGAAGTGAAGGGATTTTACAAACTAGGTTGAAAAGAGGTGGAGAAAACAGTCACTGAATCCAGTTTTACTGTGAATGTGGTAGGTTTAAAAGAAAATATTTGTACCTATCTGAGGTGCACTCCTTTTGTAAAAATACAGGTACTCATCACCGTTAGAAAATGGTAGGGGAATACATTTGGGAGTTACACTCAGGACACTAAATATTTGGGATATTCATGAGTTAAATAAGATTTAAACCTTACATCCCTCCCTTCACCAAAAATACTAGAAAAATGGGAAACTGAAAGTACTTGATTTTTTCACTCACAGACACAAATGATGGGAAAAGAACATAGGTCAAATGGCAGGGTTACTCACATCCTGAAATCTCTTCAATGAAAAATGAGATTTGCACTCAGGCATTCACATGTGGATGTGCAACATGGGAACCATAAATTTATTTCCTTTACCAAGACACTTGCTTTTGGAAAGGAGTCAATTGCTTCTTAGCGCTAAAGGGGGCCAGTGCCACTTTTCTATTGCTAAAAACCAAATATATCAGATACTCGGTGAGATCCCATCCACTTGAAAGAGAGAGAGGTGTCGGGAGAACAAACTGGAGATCTGTAAAATCATGGGTGGGGGCATGGGGACAGCCTGTGGGCATCTACTGCTCATTCTGTCTTCCCCTGTAAGAGAAAAAAGGGGCATCAAGTGAAACTGTATGGGGTAGGTTTGAAGCCGAGGGAATGTTCTGCTGTGGAAATCACTGTCTCAGGATGCTGTGGGTGCAAGAAGGTGATGGGGGTGCCAGGGGAGCCTGGGAACAGTTAGGGAGAAGAAATGCTGTGAGAGTTACTACACAAACTGGAATTACATCTGGTGCAGGAAATCCCTAAATGTCAGGCATTTTTGAGGGTCTTTGCTAAGTTTTTGAATACTTGTCCTTCTCTCATGCTCATCCCAACACCACTAATTTTTTTCATTCACCAGAGAAAGGGTGAAGGCTTTTTGGCTGAATTGTGTGTTACATTTGATCAAAATAACCCATAGCTTAATATCAGATTTGTCAAACAGTTCCAGTCAAAAGAAACCCAAACAACCACAAACCAGCAACAACAGCAACGAAAACCCCAAACCCAAAGCAAACATGTGACCTTGAAAAAAACAAGTTATACCAAAATGTTTCTCTGTGACACTGCAGTCATGGAACACTTTAATTTTCCATTACAAAATCATTTTTGCTCCTGTTTAGAAATCTGCCTGCACGGTGTGGGAAGTGATACAGAGATTATTCAGCTCTCAGAGTCATAACTGTCTGCGGAGAAACATACACCTCTAAAGCCATGTAAATCCTTGGGGCAGTAAGCCTTGGTAAAGACCTTTGCTCCTCTTGCACTGGCAGAAGCACCTGATTTCTTTGGTTTAAAGCCAGCTCAGACATGTGCAGAAAGCACTCCATGGAG